GACAATTCCCTCTGCAAAAACATTGGGTAGGCAAATACCTCACCATGGTAGTGGTTCAGTCCTCTTAGCAATATCCCATGTCTGATAGATAAGAAGACAATATGGTTAATGATCATCTTTCACAGTAAGACTTGGGGAAATCAAAGCTATCCAAAACCTATTCAAAGATTAATTCCATGTGTGCACACACACCCTCACACACACAGGTTTCCATTTTTTGCGGGGACATTCCATAGGCATAATGGTTTTTCTACTGTACAAACCGTATTTTCTATTGCCCTACACCAACCCTACCCATTTTTTGTGGGGACATTCCATAGGCGTAATGGTTTTTCTACTGTACAAACTGTATTTTCTATCGCCCTACACCAACCCTACACCTAAACCTACCCCTCACAGGAAACTTTCTGCATTTTTAGATTTTTAATACACTCAATTCTGTGTGAATTATAAGCTTGTTTCCTCATGGGGACCTAAACAATGTCCCCACAAGGTCAAAATTTACTGGTATTCCTATCTTTGTGGGGACATTTGGTCCCCATAATGTGATGAATACCAGGTACACACACACACACTCTCTCGCTCTCTTTCTCTCTCTCTCTCACACACACACACATTAACATTTGCCCATCATTCTGTACATAGGTGACTAACTTAACTTCAAAACAATCTTTTTAGCAAAAAAAAATCTGTTGAGGGGATTTGCTTTACTTCCCATAAGGAAATAAACATGACTTTCAGATAGATTTATAAACAAATGTGTTTCCATAGCATGACTGACAAGTGCCATCTGTACAATCGCATGCTTCTGGCCTACCCATATACCTGCAGACTGCCACTTGAATCCCCTCTTCATCTATTTTGGAGGATGATTTTTTTGATGTCTCCTTACTTGCCCTGAACCTTGAGACGCCGCACATCCCACTGTCATTTGCCTGTGAAGTCAGATATTACTCGCATTAACAAATAAACACAAAACACTGACAAACATAAACAGTATACATACTGTCATGATATGCAATCTTTGACGTACTCTTGTCATGCTGCTGCCTCTGATGTTGTTCAGGAAGGCTGATACCTCCTCATCCTGGGCAAGAAATAACCCCGCATATAGAGAG